CAGATAGGGGAGGGAAAGGAGGGAAGATCAGGAGAGGGGGCTGCTGTTTCTTCCCCTTGAAACTGAGATTACTCGGAACTCTGTTTTTCTATGCTTTAAGCACGACATTTCCAATAACCTGCTTCAGAAGGGCTTGTTCTGAAAGGAGTGTTTGGTTCAAAACTGAATGCTGCTCCAGGAGAGCTGTGAAGGATCTTATGGGATGACCTGTCGAAATCATTAGGTTTTCTTACTTCGTCTTCTCTACCCGATTGTAAATCAAATTAGCATCTAAACTAGAGACTAACATGTAAATTCTAAGACTTCTTCTAAAAGATATATTTCAATTTTTCCACAGATATAAAATATCTATGATGTATTTTGATAATACTTTCCGATTCTGAAGTTGGTAAGGGCTTGCTTTTTTGATTTGAGTGACTTGTTGCTCGGAGAAGCCAAAGGTAAAACAAGTTCTGTGAACATTATCATACAAAATGAGGACTGAGAAAGGGTTAAAGCACAGTCCAGTATTCAAACATCATACGGAACTGCACAACTCCACAGTGAAATCTGGATGTGGATTCCTTTCATGGAGGAAAACCATCCGTCAGCATATTGGTGCATCAAGAGGAGGATGCTTCATACAGGTCATACCACGTTTTGGCAGAATGTTGGCTGGCCACATAACTTTCCATGCTATTTCTTGAAAAGATGCACCAAGGATAAAATTGGCTGAGTCACCCTCAAGTCCAAAGGAAGTTCCTTCATTTTGAAAAGGGCAATACATGCAAATAGAGAACAAAAAAATCTCTTGTCACTCTCCTTTGCAAAGGTCTTTAGCTCATCATTACTGAATCTTTGTAGGAAATAAGATAAATAAAACCCAAACATAGAGCATTCAAGCCCGGTAGTGACTACACAAAATGAGACAACTTATTCTTTGAATGAGTGCAGGATTTTGTGAAGCTTTCAGAGCCCCACTGCATCCCCAAGGAAACCATTGAAAATGAGGGATAGTCTTTTAAATGGTTATCACAGGTGTTACAGGTCAGGAATTTTGACTGTGGCCATCATTACTATCTTCATAAACAATTCCAGTGCTATGGAAAATGAGATGAAAACCACCTACACTCTTTCCTCCTCGTATCAGAGTGAGACATGTATTTATTACAGATAATTTGTAGCCTATTCAGCTGAAAAAGCATTTGTTCCCTTGATTGAATGGCAGTGGGGCCTAGAAACTACATACTGCAGTTTCCAACTACAGAAAATCATATACATGTATTTTCCAAATCAAACCAGAGAACAGATGCAGCCCATCAAAAATAAAATGATGAGATCATGTAATTTATCATGTTTCAAAAAGCAAGAAACTAAATAATGCACTTTTGAAGCAAACTCCCAAACTACGGCGCTAGAAGAAAGCAACCCAAGAGAACTTATTTTTCAACAATGAGCAGCGTAAAAACCTGTGGCAGTCAATACATGCTTTAAATCAGTAGCCTCCAGTAAATGAGAGCATCTGGAGCAGCAAATCTTGCTGCCATTCTCAGAAGTGACAAGACTGTGATTTACCTGAGAACAGAGAAACAACTTGTCAGCATCACAGAAAGAGACTGAAAGAAGCTTCCCATTCCAGAGTAACTTTCCTTAATAAAACTGTCTTTCACTCAACAACTTCATTAACATGTAGAGCTCAAAGCTCTGGGAATGGGTGAGCTCAATGACCAATGGACCTTTCCTGGTGAATGCAGTTTAAAGTTACTACTGAGTAACCTGCCACAAAATACCCTGGGATAAACCTCAACACACCAGGGCTTTTGCTTATGTGAGACTGAACATGGAATATTTATTCAAATAGTCACTACTTCATTTTAAACCATAGTTCAGAATTTAATATCATTGTAGACTTCATCCAGAGTATTATTTTAGCCACTCTGTGACTGCATTTTCTATGCAACAGCACAGCTTCCAGCACAGCGGCTTCTTAGTGACCACAGTAAGTTTCTACTCCACAGTTCTCATCATCAGAAATTGGAAATATTATTAAAAAGTTGCTTTGGGGAAAAAAGTTTCAGCCACACCAAAACAGTGCAAATGAACTTTTGTTTAAGAAAGATGAAGGGTTCCAAGGAAACAACTAGAAGCTACAGATTCAAAATTCAGCAGTATCCAAATTAATTTGATTGTGCCCAATTCAAACTGACCTGGTATTGCAATATTCACCACACTTCTCTTTAGAAAGATAAAACCCCTTGATATCCAATTGTAAAATTTCATTTGGCTTAAAAACTGTTTTAGATTTAACAGCTACGTGTCAGAGCTTCCTGCCTTTGAAGGCTGCTGGAGCACAGGGCAGTGCCAAGTCCACCTAGCAGAGGCCTGCCCAGCACCACACAGGATTAGCTCAATTGTAGATGATGACTTCATACCTTGAATCAGACCCAGACTTCCCAAAACGTGAAACTCTACGGTATAACTCTGCTTTCAGGCCAGCTGTGAACACAATACATGCAATGCTGTGCACATGTCTCCAACGCCTACATTTGAAACTGGTTAACCTGTCTCTTGAACCCATCAGAGCCTGACCTCGCTTACAGAAAATGCAGTTTGCAGTTGTAATGAGGACTCAGCCCACCTCAGGCTCCCAGACTTGTCTCCAAATCTATGGTTCAATAACAAGATCATTTCTCCTTTGTCTGGTTTGAATAAAGAGGAATAAATTTAAATCCTGAGTAACAGCTACAATCTCTATTGCCTGCGCCTGCTATACATCGGTGCCAGCATGAGGTGGAACTGGTTAAGTATTTGCTGCCTGATTCTTTTACTACTTTTATTTATTTTTTTAAGATTCATTAAAGGAAAATTCTGCATAAAAATAATGCAAAATACAAAACCAGGATTAGTGTTTCTATTGCACAATACTTATTTTAAATACATTCATTACTGTAACATACAACTATTTCTGGATGCAACAGGCAATGAACCAAGTTTCTCCTGAGCTATGTTACTTACTGTGCTTTTAACAGGGATGTCAAAAAAATAAGCCATTTCAGCAAGATAATGAACCTGCAAGAAATAGCTCACTCTCTCTCATTCTATTATTTTGATTTTATCTCCAAGTTCTGGATTTTTTTTGTGCATGCACTTTAAATGAATGCTCACCCATTCCTGTCAAGCAGTTTGTCTTACTACTTCACACTTGCTCATTACATTCCAAATACCTGCTTCCTGAACCACTTGCATGCCTAATCTAATGATAGTCCCTTGCTGGAGGGAAGGAACATTAGGAAATGGGAAGCGTGCATATGGAAAGCAAATGTCAGATTATCAAAACCACTTTCCCATCACTGTGAAGGCCGCTACCTCATGCAGCACAACACTGAGAACAAATTTTAAGGTCTGAAACTTTTCTGGCAGGGCAGACTGTAAAAGATCAAGAAAAAAATACAAAGTTTACCCAAAAGACATAGATTCTACAGAAGTAATGACTCTCTGGGCAAAACAAAACCCCGTTTCCTAACAACTATTGACTATCAACCTCTCTCAAGAGGTGGGCAGGAGTTTTCTACAGTTTTTATGAACTCCATAATCTTAGCTACAAGACATGCTGTCATCATCAAAGTTAACATTTCCCATGACCTTCCCTAGGGATAACATGTGAATGACAACATAATTATTCCAGGCTGGAAATCATTCTCCTATTGAATACTCCTGTTGCCATCTTTACACTTGAGAAAGCCCACACAACCCAATTCTAAACATGATTTCATGTCAAGCTGACTTATTTCCATTTCAATACATCTGCCTGATATTTTCCTTCTTTGCCACACAGGTGCACCATCAAAATAAGCCCAAGATCAGCCCTTCTGGAGCTCCGAGATTGACAGGTGTTATCCAGCGATGTACAGCTGGGCCCAGTGTTTCAGCAGCTCCTCGCATTCTGCCCAGAGATTGCAGAGAAGGTCCCTTAAAAACCTCTGTCAGGAATTAGACCAATCTACTTCCCACTTAAGGAGTTTTAGAGCTCATTTTGCTGACATGTATTAACATGACTGGATTTAACGTCTAATGCTTTCGCAATTGTTCTCTTTTCTAAATAACATGTGTCAGTCCGGCAGACATTACTTCTCACCACTAATAACAACCATTTCCAAACTACTTAATAACAAATAGTTTGGAGGACTTTATACGTTTTCAGTTTTGCTTTTGCAAACTTGTCTCAGCTCTGTCCAGAAAGCTTCTCCTCCCAGATAATTTCTCATGTTTCAAACCACAGGAAATAAAATTTCTTCTCCCTACATGTATGATCTCATCTCAGCCTTTGCACCTCACACACCAGCCAACCATGGGATAGAAAATTACAGAATCCCAGACTGGTTTGGGGGGAAGGAACCTTAAAGCTCATTCAGTTCCAACCCCCTGCCACGGGCAGGGACACCTTCTACTAGACCAGGTTGCTCCAAGCCTCATCCAAGCAGGCCCTGAACACTGACAGGGATGGGGCAGCCCCAACTTCTCTGGGCAACCTGTGCCAGGGCCTCATCACCCTCACAGGGAAGCACTTCTAACCTAAACTTTCCCTGTTTAAGTTTGAACCCATCACCCTATCACTACAGTCCCTGATGAAGAGTCCCTCTCCAGCATCCTTGTAGGCTCCCTTCAGACACTAGAAGCTGCTATGAGGTCTTCACGTGGCTTCTCTTCTCCAGGCTGAACAGCCCCAAATTTCTAAGCCTGACTTCATATGGGAGGTGCTCCAGACATGAAGAGAGCATGTCCTGATCTACAAAAACCCTCAGTGTGTACACCACAGGGCTTCTTGAGCCACCATCCCGAAAGGGTCGTACACAGGAAAGGTACCTCCCAGCACATCTACCTGCCTCATTTGTGCCTAAATTGTACACCAGTACAGAGCCAGCTCGTATGTGACATTTGGTATGGCACAGGGACCAATTCAAAGGCAAAGTATACACACAACACAGTGTAATGCTTTTATTGCTGTATGCTCAACAGCTCACCTGTACAGGAGAAATCATCCACACGGACATATCCCATGGCACAGTCACAGCGATAGGATCCAGGCAAGTTAACACACACGGTGTTGGCATGACAATAATGCATCTTGGCAGCGCACTCATCGATATCTGTAAGGAAGAACCACCGAGGTAAGTTACAGTCAGGCTTAGAAAAATATAACAACATGACACAATATTAGAATAAAAGAAAATAAATTCCATTCACAAATCCAAAGGCAATTTGGTTTAACTCCAACACTGGGGCCTACTCTTAATCAGGAACTGCAGTGACAGGACAAGTGGCAATGGGTTAAAACTTACACATGGGATAGGTTAGATATAAGGAAGAAGCTCTTTACTGTAAGGGTGGTGAGGCACTGGGTTGCCCAGAGAAGTGGTGAATGCTCCATTTCTGGCAGTGTTCAAGGCCAGGTTGGACAGAGCCTTGGGCAACATGGTTTAGTGTGAGGTGTCCCTGCCCATGGCAGAGGGGTTGGAACTAGATGATCTTAAGGTCCTTTCCAACCCTAACTATTCTGTGATTCTGTGATTGGCTGGGGCTTGGAGCAACCTGGTCTATAGTGGAAGGTGCCCCTGCGCATGGCAGGGGCTTGGAACTAGATCAGCTTTAAGGTCTCTTCCAGTCCAAACCATTCCAGGTTTCCATGAATAAAGAAGGAGGCAAATTTAGTACAGAAGTATTCCTTAAAATAGACCTAAAATTCCTGTCTCATAGCAATGGGTTCCTTCTGCTGTTCTTCATGAAATCCTTTATATTTTTTAACTCCGAAAAATTAATGCATACATTTGGGTTTTTTTCTGTGACAATGCTACAAGACAAAAACTGATGCAGAGTTTCCAAACACATAAAATAGCATCACAGGTCTGCAGCACTGACAATCCTACCTGCCTTACTGGTAACCCAAAACATGAAGGCGCAGTGCCTCTGCACAGCAGGCGGCAGCTGCAGTGAGGGACAGATAGGACATGGCAATGTCTGTCACAGCAATGCAGCAGATTCAACTGCTGAGTTGATGGGTGAGTGTCCCAGTCCCCCAGACTCACTCAACTGCTAGGTCAATGCTCTTTCCCTGCAACACAGGAACTCCTGTGGCGTAAGTGGGATCAGGGACAGCCCGTTTTAACCTGCTTTAAATCATGCCAATGGAACAAAAAGATGACTATGGAGCAGTATAATGTTGACCCCATATCTCTGTTTGCTTGAGGATCTCTACTGCTGTTGCAATTCCAAAATTCAAAACTGTTGTCACAATAGTGAATCAAACCCATCATTGATTTGCCTGTTTAAATATCCCAAAGCTCGATGATACTGTAAACTGTAAAATCTTCCCCCCTTCTTTCCCCACAAAACCAGATATTATACTGAAGAATTCTCTTGATTTGTTTTCTCAGCAGGATAGATTTTCTGCTTAGTAGCACAGATTTTACATGAAGTAATTCATGGTTTTCAAAAGATTAATTCTAGTGTTCCATATGTTCACACAAAGAAAAATGAATCAGACTCGTTTTTCCTCCTCTATTACCTTTTCCTTGTTATTCATTGCTCACACTTAAGTAAGGTATTAACTGACAACACAGCTGAAGAACTCCCTCAACCAGTAGAGTTGGTCACCACACAGTGTGGTCTCCTCCCACATCCCTCTGCACAACCATCTACAGAGACCAAGCTACAGTCTCTCTTTTTCCTCCCACCACCTAGTACTTATGGAGATACAATAGAGGTGCTATAAGGGGTGAGTACCATAACATCAGGATTTAACCCCAGAATAGGAGGGTTAACCTCCATAGTGGAGGGATCACTGTGCACATGCTGAGCTCTTTGTTGCCTAAATTTAGGTGTCCTGTTTAACCTTCCTAAACAGAAATAGCTGCAGTTGAGGTACACCCACATTTTCCAGTCTCTGAAAATGAAACACATCCCAGCTACACTCACACTTGCTATACTACAGACATCTGTCTGGTAGGAACTACTAGCTAAATCACTGTGTGTTGGCCACCAAACAGCTGTCAGTTGGCAGTGATTGCTGACTGCTGCCAACTTGGGCTGAATTAGAAATGATGGCCTGGAGGCAAAAGACTTGATATACCACAGCAAAATCCTTGAACTACCTCGTTCCCACATTGCTGTTGTTTCTGCTGCAGTGCCACCTGACAAAACGAATTTTAAAAAGTCAGGAGCACCAATATATGGAAGATAAAAGCCAAGAAAAATCCTCCCACATGTCTTGTTATCACACCACAGAGTGCTAGAGCCACTTGGGAAACACTCAGGTATTGATGTGTGTTCACACTGTTCTGTTTGCAGCCTCTTTATAATAGGTTTTTGGAGCATAACTTTGAAGAGTTTTGTTCTTGCATATCTGATAATTTCCAAGCATGAAAGGGAAAGGAACAAAAAGATGTATGAAAAGAAAGCAAGAATGTCAAAACAGCAACCAATCTACCTGAAAATTAACCTTACGGGCTACCCTCTATCTCCATCTGCCTCACTGAGTGCACTGGACAACGCTTCTCTTTCTTCCCCCAAAGCAAAGAGAAAGGATTAAAAGTCTCAAAGGTGAAGGGATTTAAACTTTGGTTCATTGCAAGCAAAGCCCACATTACTGTAACACAAAATAGGAGAACACCAGTGATACAAAGAAAATCCACAACCTCTATGAAAATATTGCTGTTGGAGTATTTCTCAAAAGGGGACTCAAAAGGACTTCAGGTAATGGCTGCACTAAAGAGGACTGAGAACAACTGACACTGGGTTGCTGCAGAAATCCTTGAGTCCAGGAGGAAAATGCTGGGTCTAACAAAGGCAGCAGCAGGAACAAAAGATCCCTCTCTTCAAACTTGGCTCATCTACTTAACTCTTTCTGCAATCCGTCTTTGGCCATCTTCCATAAATCCTTTCAGTATTTCTTCTTTTCTTTACCTTTGCAGTATCAGCCTCCTACTAATACACACATTTCCCTTACAGAGAATAATACTGAGAGGTCAAAACTGGCAATAGTATTTTCTTATTAAAGCCTAAAGGGCAATGCTAAAACTGTTGTTCTGGACCACATCTCTGCACATTCCTGTAAAAGGTTAGGTATTCATCACAAAATGCTTGGGGTTTTTATTTAATACTGTTAGAGTAAAATCCACAAAGCACCCAGTGGTATAGATCAGCTCAGCTGTAATGGAACTCAAATTGTGATTCATGTGTATAGATTGCTTGTCGCATTTGAAATATTAGAGCTCATCTTCTAGTGGTCTTCTGAGGTGATAAAAATATATGATTTATGTATCTCTCTAGACTGGTGAAGTAGTTTGTTTTTCTTTTCCAAAAGTTTACTTATAGTCTCTAAAATAAGACTTGACACAGCATAATGATCATTCACATCTCACCAGCTGCCATCTCCACTGGCTACCTCTTTGCAACAACAAAGACATTTGGGCTTCAGCTTTCCAGTAAGGACCATAATATTACAGGGTGGGTTGGTTTGGTGAGCGAGAGCTGCTCTTCCGGGTCAAGTGTTTCCTTAATAGTTAACAGAATACATACACATGAATTATATTTTATTATTTGTGCCAGTGGAAACGAAAGTATCTCAGTGCAGCTACCTGCTTAGCACCTGCCATGCCTTTCGCCACACAGCAGCTACTTATCATCTCATACCAACCAACCAGGCAAAACAAGACGGGATGGAAACACAGTACAAGTAGCATTCAACCCATGGCCAGTGAAAGAGGTTTTCAGGTGCAAATGTACTTTACAAACCATTTGACTCTTCTCATGCCCAACTTGGAATCCTACTGCTAAATATTTATAACATTGAAACATGACAATTAGATACCAAATCACAACTGGGGCCTCTTTTTACTGTTTGTCTCCTCCCATGAGTCTTATCAAAGCAAACTCATCTCTGCCATAAAGAGGGCACGATTCCTGTTAATGACAATGGGAGTATTGTCCATTCAGGTCAAAGGCACCTACTGGTTTTCAAACTGTTAGCCCTGTAATAACCACAAGTGAACAATCTTGAAGCAAAGCACACTCTATCTCTGCAATTGCAGACCCCTGTTTGCATGCATTTAATAATAACCCATGTGGACATGAGCACTATCACCACCTGCTGTTTTGGGCTTCAGAGTTTAAATACTGGAAGACAATAATATTCCAATCAAAACAAAATGACTATGAAGCGTTCCAGAGCACCAACAGGTGTGTGTGTAAGTCTGCTAAGTATCAGAATCAATTAGTCCATTTGCAACTATCTCCCAACTACTTGCTGTCTGTTTGGGAGCATGTTTCTCCAAACTTGATCCTAATTTTCAAGCCCTCTGTAAAGAAGCAAGGATGGAAAATCAAAGATGGACGGGAGAGAAGAAGGACAGCATTGCAGAAAGCTCTGATGTCTAATTCATGACTCCCACCTAGAAACCATTATTAACGGAGGGTAAATTCACCTCCCCTCCTTTATTCAAGTTAATACTATGCCTTAATGTGACCTGTATTAAACCCTGGTCTAAATATTTTGGGGTTTAATAATGCAGAATCAATCTGGGCTGTTATTTAAATAATATCGAATCTTAAAATATATTCCCAAGCTGATGAAATCATATAGACAAAGTTTCCAAGACAGTGTAGCACAACAGTACTGGAACATAAAAGAGGTCCTAAACTTTCAGTCACCTTATGCTCCCCCAACAAGGAACACATGGATTTTTCACACCACTGACTTAATAGTAACCTTGTTCATTGTTATTTCTGGTTTGTATTCCAAATGCTCCCTGATTCTGTCCTCTCCTGCCCTTACCTCCTTTCCATTGCCAGGCTCATTTGACTTCAGCTCTGCTTACCTGTTTTGTTTTAACCCTTCCACTGCCTGTCCTCTTTCTCCTCGAACATCCCCCAGACCTCGTTTTTACCTTTAGTATACGGCTGGTTCCTCAAACTGTGCAATACAGCCCTCAAGGAGCCACGAAGCATAGGACAGCAGGAGTGAGCAGTTATCTGTGAGCTGGCAGCAGCTCAGCTTCCAGCAGTTTCCTGAGTAAGAAAAGACTAATTACGGGCTGCGGATGTTTAGGCCAGGCTTAAAACTGCTCACAAGCTTGGACTCCTTGATAGCAAT